AAGAACCTAGTGGAAGTGGGGATGGGAAGAAGAAAGGGAAGATTTGGGGTGATTTCAGGAAAATGAAAAGAGATGCCATTCTGAAAGGAACCAGAAAAAGTTCCAAATCTGAGTTTGATAGGTACCTTGAGGAGGAGGAGGAGGATGATGAAGTGGTTACACGAGCATTGGTGGGTTCAGAAGAAGATGAATACAAATTTGACATCTTGGGATGGTGGTCGCGAAGTGGGATGAAATATCCTACTATTTCCGAGATGGCTAGGGATATTCTTGCTGTTCCTATTTCCACTGTTGCTTCTGAGTCGGCATTCAGCACAGGAGGTCGAGTTTTAGATTCGTTTAGGACCTCCTTATCCCCTGAAGTTGTGGAGGCGTTGATTTGTTGTGAAGATTGGATAAGATCTTCAGACTCCGAGTTGGTGGCTGATGGAGAAGATGAGGGTGATGATGAAGTGGTATTTCAAAATGGTAAGGTTTTAATCTTTCTCTTTATTCTTATATTTGTTATCTTGATCAAGTCATATTCTAACAATTTGTTATTGTTTATGTTATCCAGTATATGTAGCTTTTCAAGTTCGGAGTGCAAGTGCACCTGCAGGACCTAGTGGAAGCTCTCGTGCAGGACCCAGTGGAAGCTCTCCTGCTACCCATGTTTTGGTCTCGAGTCCTACTATGTCACAAGTGGAAGAAGACTATGTCGACAACAATTCCGATGAGAATGATGAGACTTATGTAGATGTAGAGCCTGATGAGGAGTGATAATGGTAGTAGTATTTATCTTGTATGGTGGATGAATTTTTATTTTACTTGGATGTTATCATTTGAGAATTGTAAAACTAATGTGTTTAATTACGAGTTGAAGATAATCTCATCTATGATTGTCGTATTTTATGTTGAACAAAATTATTTATAATTTTGCGCCAAACACCAAACATTTTTTTGCATATGATAGTTGAAATACCTTCAATTTTGGACCTATGGTATTACTAAAATATTTAATTATACAAAAATCCACAATTAAATAAGATATGATTAAGTTACGTATAAAATATGTTTAAGTATTTTACTTTGTCTCTAAACTACTAATACTCTTTAATAGTTAATAGTATGTCTATAGTTATAGAATACATAAAATTAAATATTTTAATAATTAAATAATATTTTAATAATAAACTAATATGTAAATATTAGTTTTATACTGTCCATGTCCCATAAAATTAAACATAATGGTAAAATAAGAATGTACAAATAATAAGAATATAATGGTTTTGTACAATGTAAAATTCAAATCACAAAACTATAAAAAAAAAAAAATCAGGCCGGTTCGGTTTCGGTTTCACCCGAACCGAACCAAACCCACAAACATCCATTTCGGGTTTCAGTACCCGAAACCCACATAGGAGCATCTCGGGTTCGGGTTCGGTTTGTGAGGGGAGCGGGTTCGGTTTTTTCGGTTTCCACGGGTTTCGGGTTCGGCTACCCGAACCGAACCGACAGCCCTAGTTATTGGTTTTCCATCATTTTGCCTCGAATGCTGCTACTTCCCCTAATTACCCAATACTGTGCTAATAGGAATCACCTTAGACCGAAGATAGAGGGAGACTTGGGATTAATTGATCTTACTTCTTGGAATCAAGCCTGCTGGTCTACTCGTCTATTATGGTTGCTTTTAATGGAAAATGTAGCAATTTGGGTTGCCTGCTGGATTCGATTTTATCTGCTAAATAGTAGAGATTTATGGCAAGTTCAAGCTACTGCAACATCATTCTGGGTTTGGAGAAAGATTACTCAAGCTTCGAGCTGTGGTGCAACCATTCCTGACAAAAGAAGGTGGAAGATTTCATGGAGCAGTACTACCCAGGTCTGTCGAAGTTCTGATACACTCAATACGGATCGGAGATACCTTTTGTCCCTTGCTGCAAGATCCAGAACTATACTGGCTGGGGCATTACAGATCGTAGTGTGAATATTTGTATTGATCCTTTGAGCACAGGATGGGCTATAGCCTCACTCAACTTTCAAAAATGGGTAAATGTACTTGGAAAATGTGTAACAAATTCTAAAAATAGACTAGTTGGTAAGCCACTAGCCCTCCCTCACCAATAACCATGGTTCAAACCACTCAAGTGTATAGTTTTTAGCCTCCCTTCGTTCAAATTTCTGACTCCGCCACTGGTGCCACTCTTGGCTTGATGTGCTGATTTCCATTCGCTCGGCGTAGGCGGAAACTCCTAGCAGCCATCTCCACTCTCGTCACACCCGAATCCCAATCCTTGTTGATTTTGACATGGAAATGGTGTCAAAACTTGCTACCTTTTTTTAATGTTAATAAGTTCTCCAAAGGTAATATCTTGCACATTGATCTTCATTAACTAGATACTTATATTTGATATAAAGACAACTGAAAAGTTTGCAGGGAATTATTGAGCTTTTTAGGAAGATGAATGGTTGTGTCAAGAAAGCATATGGTGTTTTTATTGGTGTACGGGCTTCTAAAATTGTCGTTGTTGCTACTTGACGTCACTCCAAGTGTTGTAAGAACATTTTCTACTATGAACTATACGCAGAAAACACACTTCGGAATCAGATGAGTCATGAACAATCTTTAGGTAGGGTATATTAAAAGTGGCATCCTTATATTCTAGATGATAAATGCTTTTTAAAATACAAAATCACATCGTAGATATTGTAAAACAATAATAAAAGTTGTGTTGTTATTTTACCTTAATCACATCGTGGATGTTGTAAAAATTCTGACTACGCACCGAATTAATATTCGCAACTTTGGTATTGTTGCCAACAGCATTATTAATTTTCTCTAGAAATGGTGGATCTTAATACAAATACTTTAGTACAAAAAGGAATGAGGATAGTATTAGCTTTCGGTTGTGTGTCTTATATAAGAGGGGGGGGGGGAATTACATGGAGATATTTAGCATATTCTGCACTGTAAACTGGACTGCGGTACTGCCCGCATAAGACCAAGAGTAAGAGTCAGGAGTCAATGACCCAATGTTGGCCATCCGTTCGGACTTGAAGTCGATTGAGTTTAGCAAACAGATTTACGGCCCTCCACACCCCTCTGTTATCCGCCACGGTAAAATAATCGTGGCCGAAAATGACCCCGCCGGGTCGCAAGATCCGGTAGGCTCGGTTGACATCCGCCCACGCGGAGTTGAAATCATGGCCCGCATCCACCTCGATGAGATCCGCCTGCACCCCCCACTCGCACAGCTTCTGGAGTGCCGACCCGGAAGAAAACGGGACGGGCAGGACCGACCCGGTGGCGTTGCTGGACACCGTGTTCTGCATGAACTGGTACAGCAGCATGACGTCGCCGTTCACGTACTTGACGAATCCGAACTTGCCGCCGCGAAACCCGGGCCAGCCGCGGAAGTCGTCGACGCAGAGGATGACCGCGTCCAGCCCGAGTCTCCGAGTCAGCTCGGCCATGTGGATCGAGGACGCCCCCAGAAAGGTCCCCACCTCGACGATCACCCGGGGCCTCACTTTCCGAATCAGGTTCGCGAATACGGCGCCGTACGAGCCCCACCCCCGGATCGTCTTCTCGTGGAGGAGGCCCGACACGTGCGGCGGCGGGAAGCCTTGGAACGGCGACGTCCCATCGTACACTCGGTCCAGAACCGTCTGCCGGACCGCTTCCGGCGGTACCCGGCCGGCGCAGCGAGTGGTGACCCGGAATTCGTTGATCATCGTGCTGGCAGTCGTAGTAGGAGTAGTCCTACTTTCGCTGGTGTCGGCCATTTCGGGTAGTTGAAAGGTAGCGGCGGCGGGTGGTAGTGGAGATACTAACGGTGGTTGACGTGGAGAGCCACCGTGGCCGGAGGAGGAAGCGGAGAAGTAGCCGAAGAGGTAGGCTAGCAGGATAAGGAGGAAGTAGCCTGCGGAGGAATTGAGGAATTTCAACGCGACGAGTCTGGACTTCCTTAGCATGTGGAGAAGACTGTGCAGCTCGTCTTTCATTCTTCTTTTTTCTGTTATTGGCTTCTGGTAGAGAGTAAGATTTTGACGGAAAAGCTGATGCAAGAAGGAGGAGGTTTTGATCCAAGTGAAAAGGAAGGAAGGAAGGAAGGAGTTAGTTGAGAGTTGAGTATGGAATTAGTTGCTTGATTAATTGGGAAACAAGAAGGACGGACGACGAGAGAGGGGAAGGAATTAGACGAGAATGCAAAGAGTGTGGAAGGAAGGAGTTGGAAAATTTATTTATAATAAAAGTCAAGTTTGAGGAGTAGTCTGGTCAATATATACAGTGATCGACATTTATGTTGGATGCAAGTTACCCACCTCAACCTTTAAGCACTGTTGCTTAAGCTTCAAACCGGACTGGGCTTCATTTATAATTACAGATTCGATCTGCCATAGTTTCCCCCTCAACAGAAATAGTTAAAGTAAACAAGGGGGCACAAAGCCATTTCGTAAGGCATAATTCTTCGATGATCAGATCCGATATATGGATGTCCGGCCCGCACATGAAATTTCTCAAGGTATTTAGAAACTTCAACATCACGACAACTTTCTGGGTGATGAAACGGAAAGAAAATTTGTAATTAGAGTTTGTGGTTTCAACTCATGTTATAGTGAATCAATGAACTTTTCTTCATATAAAATAGTGAATTAATGGACCAGCCTTAGTCAATTTCTACTGGACCGAATAGGTTGCTACACTCTATATGTGAATATTTGTATTGATCCTGGTTTCAGCTGTGTAGATAGGAATGTTGCATGAACAGTTGTTGGCTTTGCATTTTCTTGATGCTTAGCTTGGTTTTGAGCTTATTACTCAATTCAGCGGGGAGAAAAAAAAAATTATGAATCGTTACTATATAATATCCAAAACAGAGGTTGTGAATGAATTACAGCTATAGCGCAGACAATCTATCTATAGGCATAACTGAATGAATAAATGGAATGTAAATACATCAATAACTGCTAAATCCTAAACATTATCAAAGTTTCTACATGTACATGCATCAGTGGATCTAGACGGGACTGTCATCCCTGGCTGCAGAGGCATCATCACCGGCAGTCCCCGCCTGCTCCTCTGCTTCATTCTCTCCGGACAGCTCCTCCAGCGACTTGCCGTTGGACTCCGGCACCAACAACGTGAACCCAATCCCCAGTGCATTGATAACCGCCATCACAAACAGCGAGTTCTGCATCCCAATCCCCGGGCTGTACCCTTTGTCCACCTTCGCCGGATCCTTCGACTGCGACGCGTACAAGAACCCGAACGCCCCCACGATCGCCCCTGCCTTCCCCGCCGCCGCCGATATCCCGTGACACGTCGACCGCAGCCTCGCCGGGAATATCTCCGCCGGGACCACAAACGTCGTCGCATTGGGCCCGAAATTCGCGAAAAAGAAAGTCAGCCCGTAGAACACCAGAAACCCAACGTAGTGCCGAAGCCAGTAGTTGTACCAAATCGCCAGCACACACATCGACACCGTCATGCCGCAGAATCCCAGCAATTGAATCTTCTTCCTCCCCATCTTGTCGATCAGCGCCACCGTGACCCAGTACCCGGGGACCGTCCCGCAGAGCGCGATGATCGTCTGTGCACGCGCCACCTTGAAGACCTCGTGGATCGCGTTCATCGTTGCCGCCGGCGGGATCCAGTGGATCGCCGTGAAGATGTCCTTCTGGAACAGGTTCTGGCTGTAGTAGGCAATGTCGAGCAGGAACCACGTGGATGTCGTCGCCAATAAGTGAAGCCCATGGCGCTTGAGGAATTCGCGGGAAAACAGCCCGAATTTGTCGCCGGAAGCCTCGGAGACGGCTCCGACTTTCTCGACCTTGACCTCTTCCAGCTGCTTGACGTCGGCCAGCACTTTGGCCATGTCCTCCCTCGCCTGCTTCTCGTTCTTGGCCACCAGCGCCGTGTATCGGGCGGTCTCGGGCATCTTCATCCGCCAGTAGTAGGTCAGCGCCGCCGGGATGGCTCCGAACATGAGGATTATCCGCCAGACGTAGTCGGCCTGCGGGGGAAGCGACGCGGCTCTGTTGGCGGAGTACGGTGGCGCGTTGAGCGCGTGATCGAACGCGCTGGAGACGATCAGGGCGACGATTCCGCCGCACAGGATGCCGAGTCCTTGCATTGCGAATACCGCGGCGATGAATGCGCCGCGCGTCTTCTTGTTGGCGTACTCGGACATGATGGTGGCGGAGAGAGGGTAGTCGCCGCCGATCCCGAACCCTAGCCAGAAGCGGAAGAAACAGAGCGTGGCGATGACTCCCGCGGGGTTGCGGCCGAAGGAGAGGCCCGAGGCGATGGAGGAGAATACCATAATGGCGAGGGTCATGCCGTAGACCTTCTTGCGGCCGAGCTTGTCGCCGAGCCAGCCGAAGAAGAGCTGGCCAACGAGGGTGCCGCAGAGGGCGACCCCGTTGACGGCGGCGGCGACGTTGGGCGGGAGGGAGCCCGGTTTGGGGGAATTGGGGTCGGTGTAGTAGATCCGGCCGAGGAGCTTGGTGACGAGGGAGATGCAGAAGAGGTCGTAGGCGTCGGTGAAGAAGCCCATGCCGGCGATGACGACGGCGGTGAAGTGGTACCACTGGGTTTTGGCGGCGTCGAGTGCCGCGAGCACTCCGGGCGAAGGCTTTTTCTCCATTGTTATGGAAAGTTGATCTCGAGGATTGCTCACGTTCGGACTTGTGGAGATGATAGCGAATTGCTTGCTGGGTAGTGACGAAGAAGGAAAGCAGGGGAGGGTGTTTAATTTATAGAAGGTATTGCTGCTGTGTTCTGTTTGATTCATATCCGAGAAGGGTTAGGAATGTATTGCTTGCTCTCAGTCTCAGTTTCCTCTTCTGAATCGGACTAATTAATCAGCATCGTTGCTTTTTTTTTTTCTGTCTTCGGAATGCTGGCGGTCCAAGGCAGGTCATAGGCGCGGTGGAGCGAGGCCGAGCATGGTGAATCATCGATACATTTCAGACCTATTTGCTTTAAGTGTAGTTGTTTTTGGTCAGAATCTACAAGATGATATACAGTTGAGCTTCCGGAATTTCATGTTTGCTTTGGTACAAGGATCACACGATGTGCTGCTTTACTAGCTTCTACAAGACAGGATTATCAGATTGTTGAGTATTAGTTTGGGGTGTTCTACTATTCATTCAAGCTAAACCTGTTGACACATGCAGCTGGTGTAGGCGAGGGATGCATTGCTTGGTGGCGACTGGCGTGCCCTACCAGCTTGGCTTCTCACCTAAGCATTTCTCAAGTTAGTTTTTGATCTGACTGCATGGTTTGGGGTGTTCTACATTATTTGTTAGTTGTTTGGTTTGTTTAGGTCTCTTTCATTAGCTGCAAGATTTAGAAGAGGACCAGCAGGAGAAGTAATCCATGATCAAGTGGAAATCCAAATCACAAATACCAAATTCAAATTCTTCTTGTTAAATTTAGGTACCTTTGTGTAATTTACCAGCCTTAGTCATTAGGGTTTAGCATGGCCTCTATATAAATAGTTGTTTGTACAGCTGCTTCCTTAACGTAATAAGATTGACTTTGGAGGGTTTAGGCTCTCCCGTGGACTAGTCCTGACACTCAGGGAAACCACGTTAAATCCGGTGTTATTGTTCTCGTTTTACTTTGACATGGTATCAGAGCCACGTCGATTCAAGGCTTGATTGGTTTTGTGATTGGTGATCTTGGCGCAGCAGGCGGATCGCAGCAGCAGTCACGTACAGAAGAAGGTTGCAGCTGAGGGTCCTAAGATTTGTTCATTGTTCGTGAGGTGTGTTCTTGCGCAGTTGGTGATCACTGATCCGGTTGGTGTTTGCGAGAATGGATTCGAACAAGGCGGATACGATCGCAACTAAGTTTGATGGGAAAAACTTTCCCTTGTGGGAGTTCCAATTTCGGAACTACATTGCAGGTAGGAAATTAACGTCGGTCTTGATGGGGGAATCGAAGGCACCTGGTGCGGATTCTACCCAACAACAGAAGGATGACTGGGCGGCTCTCAACGCCCAGGTTGTGACCGCTCTCCTGGGATCGCTGGATGTGCAGACTGCACTAAGCCTCCGTCGATTCGAGACAGCTCACGAGATGTGGAAGCACATTTGCGGTACGTACTCTCAGGCAAATACCTCTCGTTTGTATGAATTGGAATTGGAAATGGCTGGCCTTGCTCAAGGTGATAGGGATGTACGAGGGTATTATAAACATTGCTTGCACATCTGGACCGAGTACGACCTAGTTACAGCCTCGCTGTTGTCTGGGGATGCATCGGCCGAGATTCAGAAGGAAAGAACAAGGACTCGTGTCATGCATTTTTTGATGAAGTTAAGGTCTGATTTTGAGCCTATTCGAGCCTCACTAATTCATAGAGGGGTTACCAATCTTGAGGAAGTTGTGGCTGAACTGATTAGAGAAGAAACTAGGCTCAAAAGTCAAGCACAAATTGATCATGGATCATCGGAATCAGCCTTTGCTGTTGGACGTTCAAATAACTCCACTAGGCCTAAATTTGGCCAACAAGGCTCGGGTGAAGTTGTTTGTCATTATTGCCAAGAATCAGGCCACGTCCAAATTCATTGCAGGAAAAGGAACTACTGCAATTATTGTAAAAAGGCAGGACACATTGTGTTAGAATGCCCAACCTTGCGCAAGCAAGGAAAACCCATTCGCTTCCCCAACCACGGAGCAGCTGGCGCGGGAACCTCAGCTTCTCGTCCTGCGTCGTCGCGCGATGCAAAGGCAGCCTATGTTGTGGCAGCTTCTCATCCTGCTGATGGGAACTCATCACAAAACAATGGAGGGTCCTCCTTAACTCCTGATTAGATCCGTAAAATGGTGCAAGAAGCTTTGAATGAGGCGCTGAACTCAGCCTTTGCTACGGGTGTCACGTCGGGTAAGTATCCTCGTTGGTTGATTGATTCGGCGGCTTTTAACCATATGACCTCTGCTCGTTCTATTTTTGATAAGCTGCAGCCTGCTGCTCGTATGAACCTTCGAGTAGCGAATGGTGATCAGGTGGCGGTTAAGGGTCGTGGCACTATTTCCTCTCCTGCCATTACCCTTCCGAATACTCTATACGTTCCTGGTCTTCTTCCTAGTTTGGTTTCGGTTGGGCAGCTGACTGAGGAAGGTTGCAATGTGACTTTTAATTCAAATGGTTGTGTGGTACAGGACAAGAGGACGGGGACGGTGATAGGGACAGGAAGTAAACGGGGATGTCTCTTTGTGCTGGACGATCTGAAGGAAGCTGCAGTTTCAAAGGGGTCTGAAAGTCCAGTGGGTGAGAGGGAACGTATGCATGGGCTGCATGCACACATGGAAAGTTCTGCAGCGGCAGTTACGGCAGCAAAGTCTAGCGCAGAGAGGTTGTTCGGGGTTTCAAAGGATTCTGTTGATGATTTATCTATTAATTCAGTTGATTTGCTTTCGAATAAGAATATTTCAGTTTGGGATTTGTGGCATTGTCGGTTGGGTCACCCCAATTCGGCTAGATTGTTGACGATGTTTAGGCAGAACTTATTACCTGGGAAATTTGAGCATTCTGTGGGCTCTCAGTCGGATTGTGTGAGCTGTATTGAAGCGAAAGCTTCTCAGAACTCGTTTGAGTCAAGTGAGACAGTTTATGCAGAACCATTTGATTTAATTCATACAGATTTATGGGGTCCGTCGCCAGTTACATCTCGTATGGGATATCGTTACTTTGCTCTGTTTGTAGATCACAAGACGAGGTATACATGGATTTACTTCCTAAGACGGAAATCGGAATTGTGTTCGTTGGCTAAAGAGTTTATTCAGCTGATCAAAACACAATTCGGGAAAACCATTAAGACTATTCGCTCAGATACAGGTGGGGAGTTCATCAAGCAAGAGTTACTTGATTTCTACAAGTCTGAAGGCATTTTGACTCAACTTTCGTGTCCCGGTGTTTCTCAACAAAACGGTCTTGTAGAAAGGAAGCATAGACATGTCTTGGAACTCACGAGGGCTTTGCTTTTTCACTCGCATGTACCTAGCGGCTACTGGGTTGAGGCAGTTCATACTGTTATATATCTCATCAATAGACAGATCACTCCGACATTGGGGCAAATTTCACCGTATCAGATGCTCTTTGATCGCCCGCCCGATTATTCTCGTTTGAGGGTTTTCGGCTGCACATGTTTTGTTCTTCTGCCACGGGCAGAACGTCATAAGCTCTCTCCAAAGACTGTTAGATGTGTTTTCGTTGGGTACAGCGAAAAACATAAAGGGTATTGTTGTTACGATCCGATCGGCAAGCGCATGCGAATTGCATATCATGTGCTGTTTCTTGAGCATGTCATGTACTATTCCATGTCTTCCCAGGACAAGCAATCACATGCTGCATCTTTGGAGTTTTTGAAGTTTGTGCCCGACCTTGCGGAGCTGACGTTGTCGAGTGAGCATGGGAGTCAGGGAGGGAATTTGATACCTGATGATGATGATGCCCCTCATACTCCCTCGACACCAGCTGGTACCTCGTCCTCGTCTTCCTCGGTGTCGGCGTCCAGCTCCTCGCATGAAGGGGAATCTTCTTCTCATGTGGCTAGTGGAACGAGCTCTAGCTCGACGGGCAGCAGCTCAAGCTCGTCAGGTTCCTCCTTGAGCTCCTCTTCTATGTTGCCGACAAATGATGAGGATGGACCAGGAGATGAAATTGAAGTGTCAAGTGGAGAAGGAGATGCCCAGAATAATGGGGTCGTTGTTCCTAGGCGCTCCAGTCGTAGTACCTTGGGACAACCTCCCTTGAGATTACATGATTACGTGGGTTATGCTACCACCCCAATCTTTATCCCAACAACTTATGCACAAGCAGTGGGTCATCCAGAATGGGAAAAGGCAATGCAGGAGGAGAGTAATGCGCTTGATGCCAACCATACATGGGAGTTGGTACCGAGAACACCAGAGATGTCAGTCATCAGCAGTAAGTGGGTATATAATATTAAAATGAACCCAGATGATACGATCGAAAGGTTTAAGGCCAGGGTTGTAGCCAGGGGATTCTTACAGGAGTATGGAATTGATTATAATGAGACGTTTGCCCCGGTGGTTAAGATGCAAACTGTTCGTTGTGTCTTTGCAGTTGCAGCAATGCGGAATTGGCCACTGTTTCAACTGGATGTGAAGAATGCTTTTTTGCACGGTGATTTAAAGGAAGTCATATATATGGAGAGGCCGCCAGGATATACCAAGGGTTCGGCGGACATGGTTTGTAAACTGGTTCGTTCTCTTTACGGTCTCAAACAAGCACCTCGTGCTTGGTTTGAGAAATTTCATGGAGTTATAGTGCAGCTTGGTTTTGAGCAGAGCCAGAATGACCCATCATTATTTGTTCGGAATACAGTTGATGGGGTAGTGGTTCTGTTGATTTATGTCGATGACATGATAATCACCGGGAGTGATTCAGATGGTATTCAGGAATTAAAAAGGTCGCTTCATGGGGCATTTAAACTGAAAGATCTTGGTGATGTGTCATATTTTTTGGGTTTGGAGGTTCAAAGATCTTCACAGGGAGTCTTTGTGTCACAGAAGAAATATATGGCAGATTTACTTGAGACGGCACACTACACAGACTGCAAACCGTGTACAACCCCAATGGAACAGAATCTCAAGCTAACTAGGGACAGTGGAGATTTAATGGAGGATCAGTCTCTATATCGCAGCTTAGTAGGAAGCTTGATTTATTTAACTCACACTAGACCCGACATTTCTTATGCTGTGCAGGTGGTGAGTCAATTTCTGGGAGTTGCACGGAGCCAACACTTGGATGCAGTTCACAGAATCCTGCGATATCTCAAGCATACGCAAGACGTTGGCCTATTTTTCCCTTCGACGGGTGAAGAAGTCCTAGAGGCCTTTGCAGACGCCGACTATGCAGGATGCCCGGACACACGAAAATCGACCTCAGGTTGGTGTGTCAGAGTAGGGAGGTCACTTGTATCGTGGCGCTGTAAGAAGCAGGATCGGGTCTCTAAGTCATCAACAGAAGCAGAGTATCGTTCGATGTCAGACGTTAGTTCTGAACTGGTTTGGCTGCAGAGATTGCTGAAGGAGTTGGGAGTTAACTGCAAAGTTCCTATGCAGTTGTACGGTGATAATACTAGTGCGATCCAGATTGCTCTCAACCCAGTTTTACATGATCGCACAAAGCATATAGAGGTCCATGTTCACTACATTAGACAGCTGGTGACAGAAGGAAGAATACAGTTGAGTTATCTGTCAACCGAAGATCAACCCGCAGACATTTTGACTAAGGCATTGGCTTCTAGTAGACATTGGTACCTATCAGCCAAATTGATGTTGCGCACCCAACATCAATTTGAGGGAGGGTGTTAAATTTAGGTACCTTTGTGTAATTTACCAACCTTAGTCATTAGGGTTTAGCGTGGCCTCTATATAAATAGTTGTTTGTACAGCTGCTTCCTTAACGTAATAAGATTGACTTTAGAGGGTTTAGGCTCTCCCGTGGACTAGTCCTGACACTCAGGGAAACCACGTTAAATCCGGTGTTATTGTTCTCAAATTACTTTGACACTTCTAGCCAAACACACCCTTAGATATATAGGATTTACTATGATAATACAGAGGCTAAGGGATATCAGCGAAAGATGTTGCTAAACAAGCGCAAAAGGAAGGTGCAAAGGGAGCTAAGTTGGCTACTAGAAAGGCCAAAAGAATCATAGGGGCCTATCATTTCTACGGGTTGGGACTTCTTCGAGGCGGTCTACTATGGCAGGAGTGACCTAGAGCTGTCAAAATGTAACCCGACCCGAGTAACCCGCCCGATCAACCCGACCCGCAACCCGCCCGCAACCCGATTTGACTAAAAGTCAATAACCCGTAACCCGCTCGACCCGCAACCCGATTGACCCACAACCCGACCAACCCGCAACTCGATCGACCCACAACCCGATTAACCCGCAACCCGATTAACCCGCAACCCGATCAACCCGAACCTGTAACCCGACCAACCCGCAACTCGACTATAATAGAAGGAATTCGGTGAAGATAAACCATAAGTTGACATTTGAAATTCTAGTTCACTAAAGTCTGATCATTACGTCATCAATTATTGACTTAGTATAATAATATACATCATCAATCTATAATGAGTGTAATGGGTTAGGATATAAGGTATTAATGTTTTAGGCACGATTAGTCAAAAACTCAAAATAATAACTTATAACTAATAAGAATCGAGTTTTTTATTACACGTGTTCATGAATCAAACCATTAGAGGTTTAGGGTATATAGACTATAGAGTCGATGTATAGGGTATATGGTTAGTCTAATGGGTTAGGATATAAGGTATTAATGGTTTAACAATTATTAGTCAAATTATAACTAATAAGATCAACTTTTCTTATTAACACATGTTCATCAATCAGAATTCAAATTATTATGGGTTTAGGGTATAGGTTATAGAGTCGGCTTATAGGGAAAAAACTATAGTTTCTTACTCTATGTCATCAAACAAAAAGACTATAGTTTCTGAGATTAACGCACATTAGCACTTTATATATAACACCCTTGATCAAATTAACGCACATAATGACACACATATCAAGCTTTAACGCGAATTGGGAAAACACCAAATTGACCACCATCACCAACGGGGCCTCTTGCACTTCAATAGACGACTGCGGATCTTTGCTGCCTATGTGAGCCACCATGACCTTGGCCTCCATGTCTACCAAGTCTGGTAGCAAATGCGATCCAGCCCCACAATGTAAACATCATCACTGATACAGCAAGGCACGCAAAAGAATTCCTAGTCAAGAAAAGAAACAGGGGAGCAGCCTTTGTAAATACAGGGCATGCTACTTTCTTGTAAAGTTGAGAGATTCCATACCTGATATCTTCTCTGGCAGTAAGCATTATTCAATTCATTACCTTCTGGTAATTACTTTAGTTGCTCGACCACTTTGGCCCTTCCTCTTTCCTAATATTTGTTCTCGTGAAATTGAGAATCAATTAGTGCATATGGTAGGTTAGTTGATGATAGTGAAAATCAATCTATATTTACTTCTGATTGATACAATCAACAATTTCCTGAAACAAAGAAGGGCAATTAGGGTTAGTTGATGACAGTGAAAAAAGAAACCACACAGTAATCTTCCAGAAAATTCAGGGGCAACTTGAAAATCGCACCTTGTTGTATCATGCAACCATACTGATCCGCCCAGTGTCACAAAACATCTCCACTGCCTGACCTAGGCGAAATTGCCCTCTGCATACAGTGTGTAAGCTTATTATATTGCTAAGAGAAATTAGGTGAAGCTGTTAGCTGAAGCTCCTGCTATAGAATTAGACAGAAATTGAGAAATTATGACCTAGATTCCTAAAATCAAACCAACCAAAAGTTGTGCATGTCCTAACCACCATTATTTTCATCAGAAGTACTCGTCGGGGATGACTCCTTCCTCCTCGAGGTTTAGAGCCGAAAGCCTCTCCAAGGCAAGGTGGCCTCTCTGCCGGAGATATCCAAAGTCAGCGTGCTTCCTTCCACGGTCAATGCCCCTTAGACAAATCAAGAAAAATAGAAAAAGTAGATTAGAACCCTAAGAACCAACAATAAATGAATCAAAATCGAGCATGCATTAGGTTTTATTAAGTTCGTCTTACCTCAGCAAAAGCCGCTGGCGTCGTTTCATTCCCATAAATCCCATCGTACAATCGACCCAGAAAAGAGATGTAGGGAGAAATCAGATTGAGTAAAGAAGAGGGGGATTAGGTTACCTTCGGTTTGTATCTTTTTATTTAGGCGGAGTTTGAATCTAGAAAAGGAAGAGAGAAGTAGAGAAGAAGGATCCAACTTTTCTTATCTCTGCAAAAGGAAGAGAGAACGAGAGAATGAAAACAAGGAAGACTTTCTTCGTATTTGGGAAAGGAAGACAGAACGAGAGTTTAATTTGGTTTAGAATTTGTGGGTGGGAAATTTTGGGCGGGGAAAATGTGGGGGGGGGGGAAACTTTTTCATTTTGGTGGGAATTTTTTTTAAAGAGAATTGTTTCGTTTTTTCTTTTGGGAGCCAAAATTTCTTTCTTTACACTGTGAAGTTTTTGTTTCACTTTTTTCTGAAATCTTTGGAGCCAAACAAAAATTTTGGAGGCAATGTAAGTTTGGAGGGAAAAAACTTAAATCTCCCTCTTACAATTTGGAGCACAATTTTTTACGAAAGAAATTACCACAATTGTTCACCGAAATTATCGGTGATTAATCATTAATCACAGGAAATGAATACAAAAAATTTAATAAATAAATTCCTGTGACTAGAAGTATATAACTAATTACAGGACTTTTTACCGTAACTATTAGTATTGTTTTTAACACGGGAAACTTCCCCGTGATTAGAAATCAATTTTCCTGTAGTGCTAGGAAGGAGGGAAATTATTTTTTAGTTTCCAATTTGGTTCTTTCAATTTATGGAAGAGAAAGAGGAAGGAAAATTGAGTTTTCTAATGTATGGAAGTAGAAAGAAGGAGAGAAATTTTAGTATTTTTGTGAAAAGAAAGAAGGAAAAAAAATTGGTGTTTTCAATTTTTTGGTTTTTCATAATTTTAGCTTTTGAAATATGAATCTTTAACTTTTATATGGAGGGCATGACTAGTTAAAATTATTCTTATATGCTTTGAAGGCTAATATATATATATGTATGTAATTGTTTATGGGCTAATAAATAAATTAACCATTAGTTACAGCAATTTATACTAAACTTGATAAGTAATCTTTGACGGTTCGTTGTTTAGGATATAAAGTATGAGGAATTTCACAATGCTATATAGTATTGGTGCTATAGGTTTTTGTTTTTATGGTACAACTTGAAATTGTACATTTAACGTTATGGTACAACTTTAGATTATACCTATACTGTTTGTATAAATTTTTTTATGGTACAACTTGAACTTGTACCTTTATGTGATGGTACAACTTCAAGTTGTAAATTTGTACCATAACATAATGGTACAAATTCTCTTATGGTACAATCTAAACTTATACATTTCATATTATGGTACAACTTTAAGTTGTACATTAAAGCACCAATACTATATAGCATAGTAGAAATGCTCATAAAGTATATGGTTAGGGTATAAGGTATAAGGTACATATGGTTTAGGGTGTATATGGTTAGGGTATAAGATATTGATGGTTTTGACGGTTCCAAGTTTTTTATTAACATATGTTCACTTGAAGTCATTTGAAGTCTTTAACGGCAAGAGATCCCTTTTTAATTTATGTTTATGGTACGTGGTTAGGATACAAGGTATGTGGTGTAAAGTATATGATATATGGTAAGGGTATAACAATTAGCAAATATCACTTTTTTTATCTATGTTTTGAAAATCAAAGTATGAATTTCACTTTTAAATTAACTATACTAGCAAAATCACAACTCAAAGACATATGGTTAGGGTATAGGGTATAGGTTATGTGGTTAGGGTATAATGTATTGATGGTTTAGGGTATACAATCAACAACATATACTAACTTAATATTGTTGATTGAGGGTAAGGCTAAGTGTATAGGATATATGCTATTGAGTAAGTTATGATTGAAGTCACAATAATTTTACTAAATTTGATAGCTAATCTTTAATGGTTCAATTTTTAGGATAATTCGAACAATTTTACAAATAACTCGTTACTGAAGTTATTTGCGCAATGAGTTATTTCGAAATAACTCTTTTTATCACTATGCTTTTGCCAAATACCACACGCCAAATACCAGATTTGCATGGTTATACTAAACGAGATACTTTAATCCAAATACTACTGAATTAATACTAAAATGTCAAATAAACAATTAATGGTGTCTTTTGGTTGCAAATATTGATATCACCATTACTATTAGCTATAATACTTTACCAATTATGATTAATTACATAACAAGTTTGCAACTCGTACAAATTGTTTAACATTTTGACTAGTTTTTTTCAAAAAAATAAAGTATATATATACGAGGTAGAAATAAATTGGTTAAAAAGTTGAGAAAATATTTTAAATTATTGTAATAAAATGTGTAAGTTGGTAATGAGTAATGAGTTAAGTTACTTGATGCGCTGACCCGAACAACCCGAAACCCGATCCGCCCGCAACCCGCCCGACCCAAAACCCGATGAACCCGCAACCCGATTTGCCCGCAACCCGATTGAACCCGAACCCGATGAACCCGCAACCCGACTAACCCGCAACCCGTTTGAACCCGAACCCGATGAACCCGAACCCGATGAACCCGCAACCCGACTAACCCGCAACCCGTTCGAACCCGAACCCGATTGAACCCAGCCCGAACCCGCCCGATTGACACCTATAGGCAGGACCATAACTGTAGGGTTCCTCCCATGCGCGGATTCTGTGTAAACCGCCTAGTTGGACTGTGGTTCATGGTAAATGGTGCTAATTTTGAAATTTGGTAATTTGGGTGCTATTTATACAAAAAAAAAATCAAATAGTGTTATTTCTGGAGTTTTTCCAAATTTACCTTTATATTATGTGTAGATTTATGACAAAAAAAAATTACTATATTTGTCACATAGATCCATATTTTAGCTACACATATGTATTTTGTCTAAACTGAACCACAGATTCAATTTATTGTTTAATGTTTGAATCAATGTTACTTGAGTTCAGATTTCACAATTAATCAGTTTCTATAAGATATAATAATTTCAGTTAAAATACCTTTCCTACTTGGTTGAAGAAGCTCTTTCTATGATATATATATATATATATATATATATATTCAATGTTTTAAGATTTTTCTATTTCAGAACTAATACGAAACAATAATATTTTGTACAAACTATAGGTGACTGGTTCGCTAAAATTTTAGCCTGGTTAACTGCTAAACATTAAACTCAAACTCTTGCTAATCGGGCATGAATGGACCCGACAATAATGAGACGATATCAATTTTAATGTGATGTTCATTTCGCCAGTTTTGGATCGGATGCGTTGATCAATTTATAGGGCATTAACAGATAAATAAATTATAATTAACCTCATTATACAATTTTTACTCTTTATAATAATTAATTTAATCTTAATATTTGTGATGTTTGAAATATTTTATGTATGATTTAGAGGTATAATTATTTGTGACATCAGTAGTAGTTTACTCAAATGTAGTATTTCATCAGGTAGTCAAAATCGGATACTCGGTGCATTTATTACTATTTTTATCTTGGTGTTGTGAATAGTTAGAAACTTAATTATTATAATGCATATAACTATACCTAGGTACCTGGTCGAGCTAGCACGACACAGTTAGAGCATGCCATGAAGACAATGTATATGGATCGGTCATGTACAAGCATGAATGCTTCATGGGTCGTACCAGACTTAAACTTCAAGGGCTCACGAACAAGTGCGAGCACCACACCGTCTATATTGGAGAACTCATGTTTTATGGAGAAATGCGACATTTGATAAAAATAAAAAAGAATATTCTAAAATTAACATATAAAATTGAATTAATGAGTAGTTTTTCACATCAACGTGTGACGGCTCATATTCTAAAGGTTTATATAATACATTCATTGTTTATTTTGAAACACAAACATTTTTTAATGTATATAACTAAAAATTCATTTATAAAATCGGTCTTGATTAAGTTCATAGCTAAAAAGTTTTTTTTTATAGCTTGCAGTAATAACAAACAACGTCAACAATAACTTTAGAAGCAAGTAAAGTGAAGAATAAATAGGAATTTAGTATTTCTTTGCAAATGTGGGGGAAGATTTTTTGTCTAAAAAATTTGAGAAAGGGTTCATACTCATATATCATTTGTTTGAATATTGAATATTGCATATTGAATTGGAGTATTGAACATTTTGAAAGAGATATAAAATTCTTAAATTAGTATTAATTTTCAGCCCGGTTGACCAATAGCTTTAGACCTTTTGCAAATATGACATGGATCCAATAATCATAAGATGAGATTTAGTTTGATATGGCGTCGGTTCAACACCATTTTTATGTGTAATGAATTTGTACGACAAATACATGTAAAGTGAAGATGAAACTGATTATGCATTTTTATTCTTTAGATAAATACAATGGTTTAAGGTTGTAAGCGATGAACTAACTATACACTCACTCGATTGGTTTAACGAGTTCTGCTTCACAAGCTATCAAGCTACTTTGCTCCGTCGATGAATAAGCGACCATCTATTCGCTAGGTTTCAGATGCTCTGATTCACACTATCGACTGTGAATGGAGAAGAAGCATTTCGAACGCAAAATTGGACAAGTAATTGAGATGCTTCTAGATTTTTCTCGATTCCAGGCGGTGGGATGAAAGAGGAAGGAAAAATGGGGAGAGTTGTGAGATACAAAGCTGTGAGAAATAGAGAGAGAGAGATAGAAGCACAAATGGAAAAACTAAGAGCAAGGCAAAGATAGAGTGAGAGGACACATTTAAAAGAGGAGGAAAATGAGTTAGTGTGAAATAATTGTCCTTCTACTTTGATTAATGGATGCTATTGGCCCTATTCTGTTGAGTTTTGATTTATTTTAGGAGATGACATTATATTTGACATATTTTTCCATTTCAATTTAAAATCCTAAATCAATATTATCATTTGGAAGATATTTTTCCCTTAATATGATTATTGTAATTTCTGAGATTTTCGGGGTATTTGATAATGTCAATATTTTAGTGATTTTTTATTTAAAGTTTGTATTGAATTATCG